TTAAAAAGACTAAAAGCATCCAGTGGTTAAAATAAAGAACAACTGTAATTTCTGTATATTGGTAGTTATTTGGTGAAACTGTCGGAGCAGATGGAATCCTGAGTGGATTTGTATTGTTGACATAGGCAGAGCCACATCAAGAATCCCCAAACCTCAGACTTATGGGAATGACAAAGCATTCCCCCTGTGGCTCAGAGGAATGCCAAAGCCTTCCTCTGATTCAAGTACAAGTGCTTATGAATGGTTGAAGAACTTGTTACTAGCAAGGACAACTTCCTCCTCCCGGTGACTGCAACCTCAGAGTGCTCTCCTGCAGAGACTATCCCTCCTCTTTGCACTGTACATAACAAACAAACACACTGCTGAGTTTAAGAGTTGCATAGTGGTGCCCTCCATCAGATGGAGCCTAGCCCACCTGACCCCAGCTTTTCTGTCTGTGTATCTGTCCTTTATTCAGTGTCTGTCTTTTCTCCCTTCCCAAATTGCCTCAGTCAGGTTTACAGAATGAAGCCATGCAGGACATAGCAGTGAAATATTACCTTAAAACAGAAAAGAGGAAGCTATACACATTTGACTGACATAGAAATTCCACTCTGAGGACTGTAACTGAATGGAACTAACCCACATACTTAGAAAAAGACTTGTCCAAGAATGTGCACTGAAGCTGTAGTCATGATATCACCAAGCCAGAAACAACTCAAATGTCTATTAACCAGTAAGGGGACATGGAAATACAAATTATGAGGCATTCATAGAATGAATGGCATATCTTAACAAAAATAAGAAACCAATGATATTTTCACCAACATGGACAAATTAAAAACAAAATAAATTTTAAGCAAAGAACCTGAACACAAGGAATGCTGTGATACAATCTTGTCTCTGTGAAGCCTGAGAACAGGCAACACAGTCTTTATTGATTAAAAGTTAGAAAAGAGGTACAGACTCAAGATTTACATATTTTGCTTTGTGTATTTTGTGCCTTAATAAGATTTTCAAACACTAATGTATTGTAAATTACTTAGCAAGGATGTATATAAAATTACAGCACTCCAGATTACTTCATTGCTAACTTTATAAGATTTCAAGCCATTAACTGCTGTCATTCTTACTTCAAAGACAGTCAAATATATGTCCAGGGAGTGTGAAACATCCTACCCTATGCCTAACACTAACAGATGGATGGGTTCAAGTTTCTTGGTGTGGTGAGTCTTAACAATCTTGTTTAGTTCTCAAAATAAAACACATACGCAAACACAGACAGACAGACAGACAGACAGACAGACAGACAGACACACACACACACACACACACACACACACACACACACACACACACACGTAACAGCAGCTTAGGCATGTTAGGTAATGGTTAAAGAATATAATCAAATACATTCACACTGCTTAGAAAATAGCATTCTCTAGACTCTATACAACAATTGTAATCATTAACTAACTCACATTTACTGTAGTTAATCTGCACTGAGACTACCCAAAACTGGCCCTATTAACAATAGCCGAGGAAATAGGAGGGGCTTATGGAACCCTGCCCTTTACCTATGAACTATTGGCTATCTACAGATTCTGTCCTCTGTTGTTTAACCTCACTGAACCCATCAGACATCAATAGATAGTTCCAAACTAATGGTGACACAGATGTCACTAGTTCATCTGGGTGAATCACAAAACAAAATAAATAGGCATAAACAAGAGAGATATTTGTGGTGCTAGTGGACAGAGGTGGCAGGGAGGTGGTCATAGTGGTCAGTATACAAGCTGTACATGTGTGAAACTATAAAACAAAAATAACAATAATGATAATTGAAAATAAAGATCACTTCCTTGCTGGGAAAAAAAGAAAACACTTCAAAGTAGAATTATGCAAGTCGTACTAATTGAAGCCCTCTGCCTGTTAAGCATTTTCTCTGAACCAAGTGCTTCATGAAGAGATGAAGTCCTAGTGTCAACTTCATTGCAGTCTAAAGTTCCTACACAGTGTGATTCCCTTCTAGACTCACCATTGTCTGATACTTGATGGACCATATGACACTGAAGAATAACTGGCAAATAGTCAGTTCTGAAATTGCATACCTATGAGCAACACGGAACGGACTCAGTAGATTGTACTTTTATGTTTATATAGATAAATAATAATAATAACCAAAGGTAAAGAGATCATGTGTTTTAGAGGGACTTAGGCATGGGTAGAGTTGGAGAAGGGGACATAAGTGGGACCAGAATGAGGAAATGGAAGGGGAAAATTATGTAATTAGGTTTTAATTAAAATTTAGAATACTAAAATGTCTTGATGCTAAGAAAGGAAATTAAATCCAAATGGCGTGAAAGTCTCCTATCAATCAAAACACATATAATTGCTAAGGCCTCAAAGGAAGTGGACAAGAGGACATGGGGTATACACTAGTCTTCACTAATGGGTAACTCAGCTGTGATTAACTTAGTTAAAGTGACATGAATCTCTCCTTTCCCTTTTGAGGCAGTTTGGAACATATCTACTGTTCTAATCTAAATGAAATGACCTCAGAGTAACATCCCTAACTTTACCTTCTATTTTCTGCAATTTATATTCTTTAGTTTTCTGATACATGACAATTAATTCAAGATGTATTTTTGTTTCCTTAGGTCATTGTAGTCCCTTGGATAACTCCCTTGTCTCTGTTTCCTACTGACAGCCTATTTTTTTGTGTTTTCTTTTGGTAACCTTTTGTGACAAAAGGTCATCTTTGTCCCATTTTATAAAACACAAATTAATTCCTCCATCATACTAATAAATATATATACAGTAAGCACATTGCTGATACTTCATTGTCTGGTTCATCATTAAGAGAAAAACAATTTTTGAAACAAGGAAAGTTCTAGGATGCCGACACTCCAGAATCCTGAAACTCCTTGGCACTTGGGACTATTTGCTTATTTTGAACAACACATTCAAATTTAATTAAAAAAGTTTCACTCTTACCTAAGGTTTTTAATTATACACATTATCAAACAACACAGAGATAATATTAAGTACACTTCATCATTTTCCTTTAAATGCACATGAGCTCAAAATGAGAAATCACGTTTGGCCACCAAACTTTTCAGATACCAGCATTAATTGAGTTTATCAGGGACTTAAATTAGTCTATTGAAATTTAATTAGAAAGCCTTCTTCCTCAAGTGTGGAGAAAGCGAGGTAATTATTCTAAGGTATACCTTATACACAGAAAAGAGTTGATCAGGACTGACTGTTGAATTTAAAAAGGTCGATTTGAAAGAATGGCCCTGAGTGGGTATTTGAGGATTTATTTCTAGAAGGTTCTTTCTCACCATTTCCTATACAGCAGGTATGACTTCTGTGCCCAAAGTTTTTGCACAGACATTATGGTTTCTGTCTCACACCTACTTGCCTCCCAGAAGTCTGGATTGGTACATCCTATGCTCCTAGGCAGAGGATAGGGTGATTAGTCTGGAAAATCTGGATACTGAGTTCTTAGCAGGATTCCCTGGCAGAGGGTGTCCTCAGCGAAAACTTTCCAAATGTGACATTGCAACTCATGGATGGAGAAATCACAACTGTTTTACTCTACTTTGAGAGGGGAGTCTCCAGAAGTTTGGGACTGACCCTGTGCCTGCGTAACTTCTCTTTGCTGGCTTTTCATTAAAACTGAATGCTACAATAAATCATAACAATAAGTATAATTAATGTTTTCTGCGAGTTCTCCAAGATCACCTAAGGATGATCTTGGGAATGCCTGGTATCTCGGTGTCTGAATCCCTCCCTCTTTCGCCAATGAACACCAGTGATGCTGATTCCAGTGAAGTTCAAGGGTATAATACTCTTTCAAAGAATCTTCAGGTCAGGTGGACATACTCATTTCTCACCTGTCAAAGTATGAAACTGCTCAATAATCATATGATGTTTTCCTTATACATATTTGACCAAGAAAACAATCAGTAACATATATTTCCATTTTCTTAAATTGATTATTTTCTTATTTAGCAGTAATTGTTTTATTTTCTCTTTTAAATAGTGTAAGACTTGTGGACTAGTAACTCATAATTTTTAGAGATAAATTCATTAATTTTTGGAGTTGAGTTACAGGGCAAGTTTCTTTTGATCACAACTTCTTGTAAATCTGAAAATTAGCTTCCCTAGGAACTCCCTTCACCCTTCGGAGAATGAACACCAGTCCTTTATGTATTGTAAGTCGATTTTTCTGGCATCTCTTAGGAAATACTTGGGTGTCTGTGTACATATGGGCTTCATTCTTGTTCCTTTCCACCCAAACTTGTTTAAGATGCAGTTGGCCTGATGAGGAAGCAGTAGATGTGCCCTCTGTCCCCATCTCACTCTTTTTTAAGGGGCCAATGTTGCTATGGAAGCATTAAATATACCCTGCTCAGCAGAACACCAAAAATATGAGACTAACCCTGCTAAGTAGGAAGCCATTGGAGGAGACAGACTTTGGTTGTCTCCCTTCTAACTATCGAGGCTGAATGAAAGTGCTTTATTAATATAAGTACTAATAACTACTAAAATAGCATTCAGGTAAGCAATACCTCAGAATGTCAGAGGCCAAATTACTAGGCTCATGAATATAATTGCATATCTTCTTTTATTCTAATTACAGTGTAGTATAGTCCTGATTCCAGCTTCATTTTGCCTCAATGAATTGGCGCCTACTGTTTCTGCATGTGTCTGCTTCCATGATAACGAATTCATTTGTTAAGAACTTTAAAAACCACTTTTGTCCAGTTAAGATTTACGGGTACAATTTCCATTTCAATACCTTCCTGTGAAACATTACTGCTAAAGTGTCTCATCCTTCGGAGATGAATGTTACCCAAAGAAACCTTTTCACTGTTTTTCTTCTTTTGTTCTTGCTTCAAAAACTCATTGTCCTCAAATCAAACAATGATCCAAAAACAAACTCCAAAAGATCACATGTAACAATCACCATCAAAACTGTGTAATGTGAAAATGTCACCAAAGGCACTCACCCACTTGAGTCTGCAGACGTGATAGCAATCAGAGGCAGGATTTTCAGGGGGAGGCTGGTTGGCCGAGGAATGTTCTCTGATTCGCTTCTCAAGTCAGCTTGTTCCAACTGTCTGAAGGCAAGAGGAGGGAGCTGGATACTGCGGGATGAAAGTCTCCGTACCAGATAGGGCTCCATCCCACGAAAGGGGTCCTCTTCTTCATTACTGGAATGCAAAGTTTCCTCAGAGGCCTAAGGCAAAGTTCAAGAAAGTTGACGGAATTAATAAAAGACCAAGTATATGTCATTATTCGGTGGCTTTATATGTCATAGGGAAAAATAAGTGCAGCTATACATGAGCAGGATAATATCTACTGAGAAGCTGAGATGTAGGTTTGTTTTTAAATAATGGATTTGCTGATCATTGTTTTTATTTAGGTTTGGCGGTAACAATTGGTATTCTCAACATACTTAGAATTTACTAACTTTGTGTGTGACTATAAAATCAAACATGAACCAAATATTCTGCCTTCCATAGAATGAATCACAACAATTTTATCTGAGTACATGTTAATACACACATGTAATGAGATTTGTGTGTAAGTACATTTTCTCCTACAAAAGTGCTTATGAACAAGAAGGTAAACTTTCCCTTATTCTTTTTTCTTTAATTTTTAATTTATTATATTTTTTCTAATCTTAATCACCATATTTTCTTTTCTCAGTTTTTCTATCTTTAGAATATTTAAAACGTTTCTTCTCCCAAATTATTGTTTAATCATTTTCCCTCTTTTTTGCCTTGTTTCTCCTCCCTCTCCCAGTTCTGGGATCAAACGAAGGTAAATGCTTTGCCATTCTGTCCCCATCCCTTTAAAAATGTTTTATTTTGAGATGGAGTCTCTTTAACTTTCTTAGGACAGCCTCACATTCAGCTGAGGATATAGATCAGTTGGTGAAATACTAAACTTAGCATTTATAAAGATTCAATTCCACTCATCGTGGCTCAAGCAAAATTTCAGAACTGAAAAAGTAGAGGCAGGTTGGTCAGAAGTTCAAAGTCATCCTCAACAACTTATCAAGCTTGAAGCCAGCCTAGACTATGAGACGCCCGCCCAACCCTGTCTCAAACAAACAAACAAACAAACAAACAGATAAAAAAAATCAGTAATCAGTGTGTGTGTGTGTGTGTGTGTGTGTGTGTGTGTGTGTGTGTGTGTGTAT